GAAGACATCTGAGGCCCCTCATCAGACACGACAACAACAACATCAGTATGGTAAAGTAAAACTGTAGAAACTGGTGTGAAGGTTCATCACACACTGATGAGCCAGACCCTACAATATTTTTTCTCCCAGCAGTAATCACAAAAGGAAATTTTGGGAATTCCTATTCTAATTACACGTAGTATTGGACTTGATGGCGGGTAGTTAGTGTTGTTTTTACTGTAAGTGTATCACACGCTAATACATCCTACACATGTAGACAGCAGTTCGGCGTTTATACTTATAAGATGTTAGAGTCCCATTTGGCTACACAAACTCACTGGTAGGGTCGTACTTATGCAAATATCAGGGTCCATTCAGGCAGAAAAAAAGTGTTTAATGCTGGAATCGATCCAGGAAGGTGGATTGGGTGGTGATAACAATCCTCCGACATTCTACTAAAATGGCGAAATTTACTTCCTACAACAACCTGTCTAAGGCTTATTTTACACTATATCACATGGACAGATATATAATACATATAACAATTAAAAAGGCATTTATTGAATCAAAAATAATTTATTTTACTACGAAAAGAGACTGGAAATTCGCGAAATTTCGGGGCCAACCCACTACAATGTACAACATGTATATAAAATCTTCACTACTCTCTTGCTGGATAAAACATTTGTTTATAAATATTTTAAATATTTCAAGGCGATTGATAAAATGAGAGAAGAAGTGCTCAACTCCACAGACAACGGCTGATTGCTCCCCCTCCCCTCTAAATTGCTTTTCCTCCTCACTCATGTACATATATAACCGTTATGGGGAATCCCCTTGTAAGACAATAGTGTCTTAATAAAGGTTTTTGTTGTTGTTGTTGTAATTTATTTTACAAATATTTAGTTGGCTGAACGCCAACCTTTTTCAAGGTATTATAGCATATATGTATGTCAACAACAAACTCAGCGCCTCATAGCGTCAATAGAATTAAGTTAAAAAAGATGTATGTGTGAGAGAAAAATAAGAAAAAAATGGTCAGAAGTTGATATTAAAAACAAAAGAAGTATTTCCTGACGTTTAGTTGATTTTTGTTCCACTAGATGGCACTCTGCCATCTAAAATGCTTATGTAAGCAGCCAGGAAATGCTTATTTTGTTTTTAACATATATATGTATATGAACATTTTCGAAATAATTAGAGACGGGTATAATTATTTTAAAATCCCTCCCATTAATTTTTTCATTGCAGTAAGGGCAGTAGAAATTGTTTTTCATTTTTAAAAGAATCATACGCGTCTATAATAGTTTCGAATTTTCATAACAGATGGCGTGCTAATGTATCATATGTATGTACCAGAAGAGGCATATCTTCCGTTAAAAGACATCAAACAATACATTTTGGTTCATACCCAGTACAGAACGTTAAGGTAATGATGAAGAATGTTGCAGAACACCAGTTTTGGCAAATTCAGACCAAAGCCATGGTATACCATGGTGTCGGGCTATGGCTCTCTTGTTCTTGTTCCAAAATCACTTTATTAGGTACCGCTCAACAAGAACAACCTAGTTTATGATATTTACAACAATGAATAATATGTGAAGGATATATTAAACAAAATGTTAACGTGGGATTCAATCCCGGTTAATGACTGTCGGGAATCGAGGGTGTTACCCACTTGTCCACCGACTCTTTTGCTATGGCTCTCATCAGTACGAATGAGTTATGAAATGGTTCGAATTTTCCAAAATGGTGTTCAAGCTTATATAGTGGCAGGGCCAATTTTCAGGCCAGGATGAAATATAAAGTTGTAGGAGGATGGTATTCGTGTATCAAAAGATGCACCTCTCCCGTTAAACCTGATTTTTAATCACCACTAGAACGAACTTTTTATTGCACTTTAAAAATAGAGGTACCATTTTTGGTATATATTATTATACCTTGGGATGTAGATGTTCACTGTTGTTTCCGTAGAATAGTTCAGAACATTAAAAGATGTGGCATTATTATTACAGTGACAAGGAAGATGAGTGAATTGCGAAACAGAAACAATTTATATCATGCTAAAATTATCATACTTGATGTTATGTTTGTTGTTTCTTATCCTCTTGTGCAAAGATTACACGAATTCCATGAGTTGATGCTCTTCAAGCATAAATTCTACACGACGGGCGATGCAGCATGCAAATCAACATCTGATATCATGGAATGGGAAGTAGGGGTGCATCTTTCGTTGATCATGGTACCATGATCCAGGAACACTTTGGTGAAAGTCTGACATTTCCTGTAATTTGAGGCCGTTCCTAACATAGAACCTTTACTGCCGACACTAACATGAATACTGACGCAGCTCCTCCATATCCCATCATCATACTTGATAATATAAAATCAAAATTTTTTTAAACCTCAAAATGAATTATCTTGTAGATAGAGGTTGCTTAGCCAGCATTCATATTTATGTAAAAAAATAGACACTTCGGCCAGTTGGAAGTTATTTTCTCAATGTTTCAACAAAAATATTTTGTCTTCGTCAGGAGGAATAAATAAAAATAAATCATTTGGCAAGGCAACAAAATATTTTTGTTGAAACGTTGAGAAAATATAACTCTAATTGGCCGAAGTGTCTATTTTTTACAAAAATCAAAATGAATTGGTAATAAAATAGATTTACATGAGTATGCAGGCTGTGACAATATATATGTTATATAAAAATATTATTTTATTTTAAATTATAATTTCATAGATTCAAATACTCTGCTACATCGACCGCCAGAGGTCACTCTTCCCATATAAAAAATCGTTGTTGTTTCATCCCAATGGCCGGCTCAAAATTTTTGTACATTATGTAAATAATTTTTTGTTTTCCTTGTTCTACTCGCCTTAAGCCAGGCAGTACTTTAATCAAATTATGTTTTTCATATACGAGTATATTCCTTAGCTCAAATAAAGAAATCTCTGATCAAGACTTTATATTCTCAAGATTATTATTCAACCACGACTGCACCGCCATAGCATAATCTCAACAATTCTAAAATACAACAGAAATCTCATTCATCTTTATTTATAAAATATATAGGATTCTATAGAGCGCTGCATATATCCAGAACATCCCAAGAATGCTGCGTGTACCATTTGTGTCGAACAAGGAAGAGCCAAATTCCTCCAACAGCCCAATAAAAATGAACGTCAATTAGTTTTCGAAGGTCTTTGCCTCCAAGATGGCCGTAATTGGGTGAAGGTCTCACGGAAATTACCTTCCCTGAATAATAAAAAAGTCCAGATATAATTAATGATCTTTTGGAACATTTCTTCTGTGATTAGAGTGAATCCTTTAATAACATCCGGCAACCCTGGTATCTTCATAATATAATTACTATTATTTTCTTCTTTGCACAAATAAATCCTTTTGAAATTAATAAATATATAAATAATTGACATCTCTTTAGAAAAGATTCTTAAATTAATTAAATGAAAATATTTTTACCTTTTTTTTTTCTATTTTGTGTAATTAATTTAAATATATTGTTTCCTCTCTTCTCTCTGGATATATAAAAAGATTTTATTTGTGTGTTTTTTTACTCTTTTGTTATATATTGATTAAAGCGAAGTACTATTGAAAATATTTACACATTGAAATAATATATCGTTTGAGATTATGTTTGATAATACCAGGTCTATTAGTATGAAACGCGAAAATTTTCAGTGAAATCAAAAGTTCACCAATTCCATACAACAAAAGATTTTTAATTCAAAGTAACTGCCCTGATTAGCTATACATTCGGACCACTTTTCAGGAAATTTTCGAATTCCTTGTCTGAAAATTTCTATTCCTTTTGAGTCGAACCAGTCAACAAGTCATTTTCGGAGTATGTCTGAGTTCGAAAATTCCTGTTTTTTAGGGCGTGTCCTAAAGATGTGAAAAGGTGGTAGTTCGACGGCGCTAAGTCTGGTGAGTACGGCGGGTGGGGTAAGAGTTCCCAGCCCAAGTCTTTTATGGTGTTTTTGACCACCGTAGCGTTGTGGGCTGGAGCGTTGTCATGTTGCAGTATCAGGTTGTTGTGCTTTTCACGTCATTCCGGTCTTTTTTCATTCAACGCCTCTCTCAAACTGTGCCTTTGTTGTTCGTAGCGACTAGTATTGACTATTTTGCCAGTTTTCAGGAGTTCTGAATATACTACGCCGGTCTGGTCCCACCATTTGCAAAGCATTGTCTTTTTTTCCGAAGCGATTGGGCCTAGGCGTCTGTTTTGGAAATTGGCCGGGCAGGCCCCACGACTTTTGGCGCGTAGGATTGCTGAAGTGGATCCATTTCTCATCAGAAGTTACGATTCGGTGCAAAAATGACTTCTTTTCGTGCCTGGCGAGCAGCCCTTCGCAGGTTACCAGACGCCGTTATTGCTGCCTTTCGCTCAACTCGTGGGGGACCCATCTGGAAAGCTTTTGGGTCATTCCGAGGCTATTTAAACGTAGAGAAACAGCACCTTGAGACACCTGGAGCTGTTTTGCGAGTTGCCCCTGCATTTGGGTACTGTCCTCATCCAACAAAGCTTGCAGTTCAGCGTCCTCGAACTTTTGGGGCGGTTTTCCATGTGGTTCATTATCAAGTTCAAAATCGCCACTTTGGAATTTTTTAAACCACCTGTAACACTACGATTTGCTCAGAGCGTGGTCGCTGTAAACTTCCTCGAGCATTCGGTGGGCTTCAGTGGCACCTTTCTTCCAGTTGAAGGCGAACAACAAAACTTCCCGCAAATGGGCACTTTTTGGCTCGGAAATCGCCATTTTCCAAGGGCTCCAGAAAATTTTCACGATTTGAATTTTTCTAAAACTGCACGCATGCTGATGCCACATGAGTCAAAGAACAAAACGCCTACAACAGCGCCACCGTCGGCTCAAATAAAGTTGCACAGCGGCCTCTGGCGCCCATTTTCGCGTTTCATACTAATAGACCTGGTGTTATGTTTGATATATCGTTTGATATATATCGTCGTATATCGTTTGATATTATTTATTAAAAGAGAGAAAGTTACTCGTGGTGTAGTGGCTAAGATACCTGGCTCTCACCCCGGAGGCCCGGGTTCGATTCCCGACGTGGGTTCTCTTTTTTTTTTTAAGGCGGTGGGTGGAAGGGTGGTCTAAACCGTTGGTTTTCGACCGCTACGACCTGGGATCGAATCCTGTATTGGGCTATTTTTCTGAAAATGCTACAACGGCCCCGATTCTTGCAAAAGTGCAACTCTACCAGTGTGTGCAAGTAAGTTGTTGTTGAAAGTTGAATTGAAAGTTGAAAAGTCGAAATGCTTTTAACATGTGTAGATATGTGGTGTACTTACAGTAAAAGCAATCGCCAACTTCTACCCACCATGATTATCATGGCCTGTACCACGTGTACTAGGGATAATATTTTTTAAAAAATAAAAGAGAAAGGTTTGCCGTTAGTGTACAAGGCTATACTGCTTATTCTAAGAGATTATATGCTCAAATTTGAAAATGCTTTGGACTTGGAGGGAATCTACACTATTGGTCTTTAGACAAGGTTTAATTTGGAGTTTTATATTCTAATGTTTTTTTTTTTAATAGTAAAATGAAAGAGCATATATGGAATATCTTTAAGTATATATTCATATTTAAAGTGGAAAAAGAACAGTCTTCTTTTCAATAATAAAAACAACAAATATTTACATTTATATTTCGTCTGGCGTCTGCCAAAACACACATCTATACACATGTGTGTAAGTACTCCCTCGGCGTGGAACTGAGGAGTGTTCAAGAAGAGCTTGTCTGGAGGAGGACTCTCTCAAGGTGGGGAAGTCTTCCTTGCTGAAGAAATGTGTACATATACAACTGTATTGTAACGTAGTTAATTTATTTACATAAATCTGATTGTATCGATTTACATAGTTTTGAATTATGACATTACTATATAAATGCGCTAAAATAAAATTTCAAAGTCCGTTCGTGTTTACCTCTCCTCGCGTTTATTTTTCAACGCGACAATATGGTTATTTTCCTACATTTAATCTACACGTTATTTACTCCTTTATTATATATTATCCTTTATCTTAATATATTTCTGTGATAATTGATTGGAAGATTCAATAAAATTGTTTAAATGGTCAACTGTCTACATTTGTATTTTCGTTGAGTAATTTGCATGAACCTAGATGATCTAATAGCCCCCATAACTCCTGTTTGATAAAGTAAGGGACAAGTCTACCGGTAGATCAAATTTTCCATCAATGACCCTCATTATTCGAGTAGTCACTATTCTACAAAGTTTTAACAGCTGAGAAAACATAGGCCAATTGTTTGGACTATTACATCCATACTATCCATTGCTATGTGTTAATTTACATCCATACTAATAACTTTATGTACATAAGAAACCAGACATACACATCATATGAAATAACTATATTATATATGCAAAGTAATAGAATATTTTTAACTGCTTGTCTTATATCCTCAGAGTTGTTTTTAGTCTTATAAAGGATTAATAACTCAAAAACTTGACTAAATTCTTTTCTATGCACAAATGAAAAACCATAATACAAGATACAATGGTTAAATACTATTTCTCTTAATTCATCTACCTGATCCCAGTACAACCTTTGTACTATTTTTCTGAAGTATTAGGTTTCTTTTTAAAAAAGACCTTATTTTAAGTAGCAATCAAAATAACCAAGTAGTTCCCATTTGGCCTCTTGGTTTTTTTACAGCCGCCTGTCCAAATAAACAGAAGCGTTCACAGGCCTCGCCAAGTTTAGACAGATTGCAAATGTTGCTATATATATATGGGGCTATATAAACCAATGGTCTCCGTTATAAAATGCACACGCATTAACAACACAATTATTCAAATGTACTATTATAAAGAAATATTTTCTCGGGGAAGAGATCGAGGGGAAGGAGACGACAGGGATACACAGACGATCTAAAACAATGGACTGGACGACACGAGGAGATGAAGAGGATGTCGAAGGACAGGGAAGGAAGAGGAAAGAAATAATCAGCTTATTTGGAAGAAAAATGATATTTATCTAAAAAAAATCAAGAAGAAAGAAAAGAATCAATAAAGACATTTTTCTAGCTCAAAAAAAAAAAAAATTTAAATATGCTCGTTCGGTATAGATGATATAAGAATGCATATATGTAAACGTGCCATCTAAAATCAATGGAGGAGTGCGGGAAATGCCTTATTATAACTTTTCATATTTTAGGAAAGGATAACCCCCTCCCCCTATTTGGTGTATTCAACGTGGGGCTGGTTGGAGCAACACCCTAAAGCTGCTAAGCCAGGAGAGGCCGCTCGCCATCCTAATACTAAGGAAGAAACTCACTTTGAGGTTAGAAAGGGATTCTAGAGGTGAATAAACCTACTCTTAGGTCAACGGCTTATGGATACGGAAGGCAAATAGAAAAACCTTCGCTTTTCCCACTGTGAGAATCCTCGATGGATGGACCAACTGGATGTTGGATGGATCGACCGACTTGGGGGGAACCTGATTGAAGAGCTAGACCATTCTTTTGGCATCGTTTCGCATCAATTAAATTTGTCGTCGCATCTTCTATACATGGCCATTTATACTGGGCTAATTTGGGAACACATGTGACTATCCAATGCTTTTTGTCCCTTGTCTTTATTATCGAATATAATAGTACAATATATATGCTATGAATAATTTGTTTGTTGTTAGATAAAGGGTTCACAAGACAAAGGATCGATAAGATAAAGGGTTGAAGGTGCAGTCGTGATAAAAAAAAAATATTTATCATCAAGTAGCTTCTATTTTCAATTACTTGAGGAAATATTACACATTAGTTATTTTCACAATATATAGAATTTATAAAGTTAATCCTATATTAGTGATTCAAAATGATAGATATGTTAACCTCGCATATTCACAACAAAACTGAAAGTTATTCTAAAAACGATGAGATTACAAAAGTAGAAATATCAATGAACAAAAATAGAAGGTATATTTTTTAAAATATAGAAATATTTGAGTTTTTAGATTATATAATATATATCTATATGTTGGATTCTTATGAACAAAAAATATATAATACATAGATATAAATAATAAAGATAGAGGCTGCCTGGTCGGCATTCATAGTTCTTCAAATTAAAGATACTTTTTTTTTTTTTTTGCTTATCCTAGTACACGTGGTACAGGCCATGATAATCATGGTGGGTGGTTAGCGACTGCTTTTACTGTAAGCGCACCACATGTCTACACATGTGAAAAGCAGTTCGACTTTGCACTTACAAATCCCGTTTGGTTACTTGCACTCGCTGGTGGGGTTGAACTTTTGCAAGAATCGGGGGCCATTGGAGCATTTTTTTTTTTTTTAAACAGAAAAAAGTGCCCAATGCGGGAATCGAACCCGGGTCCTAGTGGTCGAAAACCAAACGGTTTACCCAGCCTTCCACCGACCCCCCCAATTAAAGATACTTCGGCCAGTAAATCTTTTTATTAAATTGTCACGTAGAAAAATTCGAAAGGCTGACATCACAAGACACAAATATCCTAATCACGCAGATCAGCGTTGAAAAAGACATCTGCTATTTTTATAATTGGCTGAGGTAGAGTCTGACGAGAGCCAATTCCTAAAAATGTGGTGTTTTTTCCTGATGTGTGGGAAATGTAATCAGCTATCATTTATATCGACAATGTAGAACCGTTTTGTAGACATTTATTAGGATAGATGTCGCTAACCATCATTATAACATACAGCTGCATGATCATAAGATTATTATCCCTAGTACAAGTGGCACAGACCATGATAATCCTGATGGGTAGAAGTTGGCGACTGCTTTTAGGCATATGAAAAATAGTTCGACTCTGCACTTACAAATGTGCCAGAGCCCCGTTTGGCTATTTGCACTCGATGATGGAGTTTGAATTTTTACAAGAATTGGGAGCCATTGGAGCATTCTTTTTTTAATTAGAAAAAAAAAGTCCAATGCGGGTTTCGATCCCAAGTCGAAAACCATTCTACAGACCCCCTATTAGATGTGTGATGTTTATTATGAATTTTTTTTAAATGAAGAAAATATCGAATTTAGTTTAATGTACAATTTTAAGCT